TGCCAAAATAAGAGACAGAGTAGAAAGAGAAAGTACAGAGAAAGTGTGTAGAGAATTGGATACCTGACCCTCTGGTGAAAGAGGATATTTATAATGTGTCCCCAGCGCTAGGCAAACAGTTACTTTGCACTGGGTTGGATGGCAAGGCCCAATATGAGTAACTGTCAGGGCTTACATCGCGTAGGAAAGACCAGCTCATGGTCTTTGCCTTGGGTCAACTTCCCCGTGATCTTCAGGAGGTGGGTAGTTGTATGATGATGTGTCCCCACATGGGAGCACGTGGAGACGGTGGGGAGACGTGTGAGAGCTCCCTGTGGGCGTTAAAGGATTGGGCCTTCATTGGGCCCTCCTCAACGTGGAGCTGGGTTGCATCGTGCTCGACGGTGGGTCAGCCTTTGTCCCAGTCCAGAACAGTAGGTATTCAAGTAATGATATTTAGTCATTGTCTTATAGAGCATTGAATAAGTTTTCCAACTCTTCTGTCCGTGCGTAAATCGTAGTTATGGTTCTCAAGTTATGGTCGAAACAAGAGTTAAGTTTTCTGTCATAGTCGGTAGGCAAACTGAAATCGACCCAGAGGCATGGAAAAAGCACTATAGAGGAAAAAACAAGTCTCATATGCTCGCCTAGAGAGCTGGAGCCTGCAAAGCGACAATGTGAAGTCATTTTTGCTTATAAAGTCACTTTTTAAAGCAATTTTTAGGTTATATTTTTGGGGATTTTTGCTCCTAACTTCATCACCAACACTCTTTATGGAAATAAGCCAGAAATAATATTAGAGTGTAAATCTTGATGATACGAATTTGGATTTGCTTCAATCGGTGTTGACAAACTGAGAGATTCTTGTTCATCTTCTTTCTTCTCTTTGTATCATCTATTTGTTGGGGTGTTGTATGTAAGTTTATCTTGATTGTATGTTTATTTATTGATCATTGTATAAGATCTCTTTTACAAATCTTCATCGATGTTATCTTTGATTTTAATATTTATCTTAATGGGTTTGGATTGTTCTAGACATATACGGTTCGAACTCGATCTAAGATGAACATCTGTTAGATTCCAAACTTTAGACATAAATTTAGGTCTAATATTCAAAACGGATATCAGTTCTTAATGTTTTATGTTGTTGAGTTGCGTGAGACATCAGTGATGAGACATTACGGTTGTTCTCTCACCTTTGTGTTAAACATAACCTCTATTGTGGGTGACACGTGAGGATATTAATGAGTGGTTTAGGTTGCGTATAACTAATTGATAGATTTTTTAGTACTTTATGGGTAAAATGAAATACAATTCATGAAGAACTATTTACCGTAATTTATTTACTTGTTCATATGTTTTACTTTTGGATTTTTACTCTTTAAAGCCATACAAACAAAACTTAGAAACATAGAGACCGTCGAACGACATTCTTTCCCTTGCATCGATCCCTATGGAGACGACAAATCCGAAATTCTTCCAAACTTAAACTTTTTCTTGCCGCTTTACCACTTTAACAAAATCTCAATATGAAATACCCCTCATCGTTATAGAACATATCCAGCAGCTGCACAAAATTCTAGTGCTTCATCATGAACTGTTTAACCACATTCATACTCAAATCGTCCCTTATAACATACATGATTTGAGCCGATTCCTAAAACTTGACCTCAAATTCAATGTTTACCGCTTCGATTTCGATATCTAATTCTCCATTAACCACCTTTGGCGCCATGAATTCCATGGTTTAACCCTTAGTAGGGTTACATTTTTCATTGATAATATCCACCCATACTTTCTTCTTCTTGTGCTTACAATAAATTGGGTCCTCTGAGGCTGCATTTAGGGTTTTCTGAATTTTCTCATTTGTGTCTTCTTCAATTTGACTCCTCCAATCTTACGAATCACCAAGCTATGTGACCTCAACTTGTTCAACCTGAACTGAATCACTCTGATTAGCTATGACCACTGTAAGAATTTTCGATGACGGGGGCACCTTATAGAATGGTCGCCCTCGTCCTCTTCCCCTTCCACACATCATTCTTTTTTTGTTGTTGTAATTTTAACCAACTACTATTATTAACCGAGGTAAGAATTGTTATCCATTACCTAGGTTTTTTAAATAAACAAGATGAAATGTGGGATGCACCATTCAATTATGTAAATAATAAAAATGCAGATGTTAGGGATCGAACCCATGTGAAGAACACTTTGTCCCTCAGTTTTGAAATAACTAAGGGATAATATGTCAAGTTTTCATGTCTTCCTTCGTTACCTCACACATGTAACCAAATTTATATCCCATTTACGTTCGAGGTTAAATGTATTTTTGTAGTAGTGCAAATTTTGTTTCCTATGTGGAAACACTACTAGAAACTTTGCCTTTAGTGGCCGAATTAGAGACTGGAAAAATTTGAAAATTGCTCACTATATAGTTTAGCGACCGATAAAGAAAGTATCATTTTTCAGTTGGAAAAGTGTTAGATAGTAACCTTTTGCGAAAAAAATTAATGACCGATACTTAGCGACTAAAATTAAGATTGACTTAGCGACTGAAAAGGTGACCGATTTTAGTGACCAAAATTATGACTGATTATTTATTCAGCGACCAATTTAAAATCTATTGGTTACCTAGTTTGTCATGGAAATAATTAATATAATAATAATGCAGCCACTAAATCGGTCTCTAATATTTTGATTAGATAAGAATAATTTGTTAATAACTCTTAATTAATATTTCGTTCCATTCACTGCATGTGGGTCAACCTGTGTAATTGATGACTCATTGGTTTCAAGAAGTTGTGTCACATTTATTTTCATCACAATACCCTTCCCTTTGAAATCAACCTTGTCCTTAAGTTTGAAAATATGAAACTTCTGCTACAAGCTAACTACATCCTCCCAAGCAGCTTCAAATTTGGGTTGTTCATCCTATTGAACAAGGACTTTGTGAACTTTCTCTGACCCCTTGATGATGGTTCTAGCTTATAAAATCTCCACTAGCCAGATAATTGGTCCAATATCAGTCATAGTAAGATGAGGTGGCATATATGGGTCTTGAGGAGCACCCTTAAAAGGCTTCAACTGAGAAATGTGGAAAACTAAATGGATTTTAGCATGGTCAGGCAACTTCAACTAATAAGCAACCTCACATACTTTGGCTAAAACTTAAACCAGGACTTAGGATTATGAAATGTGAAACATCTAGAAAAGAATTCCAAGCCTTTGTTAAACACCTCAGTTTGACCATCTAACTGAGGGTGGTAGGCAGAGCTCATGGCTAAAACATTCCCTTGTAATTTGAAGAGATGTTGCAAAAAAGCACTAGTAAAAACCTTGTCTCTATCTAACACAATATATCTATGCATACCATTTAGCTTGACAACATTGTTCATAAAAGCTTCTGCTAATGACTTACTAGTGTAGTCAGACTTCATAGGCATAAAATGAGCATATTTGGTTAAATGGTTCACCTTTACCATAATAGTAATATAGCCATGTGAGGATGACAACCTTGTAACAAAATCCATGGCTTTATCTTCCCACACTTGTGATGGTATAAGAAGAGGTTGCAGTAACCTAGTAGGTAATGTGTTAGTTGTATTAGCTTGTTGACATATCATACAATTATGTACAATTTCTCATATATCTTTCTGCAATGTTTGTTAGTAAAATTGAGCTTTGAAATCAACTAACCAATTTTTTTTTTACCAAAGAACTACGTAGTTTTAAATTTTCCATCACACCGGGAGATACATATGAGCAAAAAAATCAAAATTTGTCGAACACAATGATGAAAAAAAATCATTTTTTCCTCTGCTTATAAGTATGTTATATTTCTTGTTTGATGATTATAAGAAAATCAATATAATGAGGTTAACAATATTGTTTTGCAAAACTAACTAGTGATAATCATTTTTTTAAAAACAAATGTCGTAGAGTGTTAATATTATCTCTACATATTACCGACTCCTAAAATCTAAATTTAGTTGTGAAGGCCATTTTGTTTATTCTTTAAGACTTTTATTAATATTTCTTTATATTAATAAATTTTGATGACAACTTCATTATTTTTGAAGCAACCCTTAAATTTTTTAAGCTGCAACAAAAATGAAACAAAATATGATAAAATGCATACCATTTCATTCCATCATTTTCTTTCATTTTTATACTATTTAATTTGAGTGAAACAACAAAATTATTTCATTCCTTCGTGAAATATTTAAATACAAAATTATATTTTTATTTCAATCCGCTCCACTTTATTTTACTTCGTCTGACTCTATTTGTTTATAATATTCAAACATATTTAAAAAAGTATAAATAAGAAAAAAAATGAATTTAAGCCATAATTATACCATTACTATCCATATTAATCAAAGAACATTTACATAAAATGTGAGGTGATACAACTACCACAACAAATTCAATAAATTTAAAATAAATTTCGATTAACACATTTGGATTGCATTTCTACTTTAATCTCAGTTAGAGGACTATCAATTAACCCAAAAATCTTTGCTACTTTGCTAGCTTAGCTGATTTCAACTCATATTTAAAGTTTTTTAAGTGTAAATACAAATATATGTTATTTTATTTTTAATAATCGCTGATTTGTGAGCCCATACAAAATTAATTTATAATTAAATTAGGTTTTCAATATTTATATTAGAGAAACTAAAATTAAATATTTCTATATATTAAAAATTAAAAAACAATTCAATACAAAACAATTTTGTAAAGATAAAAAACACAATAAAAAAAATGATATATTTACATAAAAACAAACAAACAAATTGCATTACATGAATTAAAAATAAAATAAAATTCTAAAATGTATATTTAATTTTAAACCCATATACAGTGGCGTTCGTAAGAAAGAAAGAAACATAGCAGTGAAGCGCAATACCCATTTCCCGCTTCGAACTTAACTCTCCGAGCAACAGCTCCTACCAAAACCCTCTCCATTCCATTTCCCCCAACACTGCAAATCGTTAGGGTTTCGTTTTTCTCTCTGAAAAATGGTTACCTGTAATTCCCTTTCCCTCTTCTATGGCAGACATCGTCTTCACCCTACAACGACGCGTTCCTCTTGTTACTCTTTTCCCTCCAATGCTCTCCCAAGTAATTCACACTGTCTCCTATTTCATCGTTACATCATTTAAATTTTGAAACAAATTGTTTATTTATTTGTTTGTTTAATTTTTTGAAATTTGAATGAAATTGGATTAATCGCATATGTTTTCATTTTTTTCAATTCCACTTGTGATTTTAATCTTATTAATGGCTGTGTATTTATATATTGAAGCTGTGTTATTATAGTTTATACTGTTTGTTTTGAGTAGGAATTGATGTAGCCAAAGTACTGCACAAAGGATCAAGAAGAATAGAGGGTCCTAAAAAAAGCATGGAAGACTCTGTACAACGCAAGATGGAGCAATTTTACGAAGGATCAGATGGGCCTCCGCTTCGTGTTCTTCCTATTGGTGGGTTGGGTGAAATTGGAATGAATTGTATGCTTGTGGGGAACTATGATCGTTATATCCTTATTGACGCCGGAGTCATGTTCCCAGAGTACGGCTTGCAACTCTATTCCCTCTCCGTTATATATTGTGTGGTTATGACTTATCATTCATGCTTAGCACAATGAATAATCTCAATCTGTCTGCATAGGAAATTTCATATGAAAGATTTTAAAATGTTAAATACTAGTCAAAGTGGCATTGCATCCTACACTTATGAAGATGGCAAGATATTTTCTGTATGAAGATGATTTAAAAATTTTAAATCCCATTTGCACTGTTAAGTGCTATCAAATTGCTTCGGCATGATTGTCTTTTGCTCTGATTTTCATTTGCATTCTAGGATGGTTACCTTACCTTTTATTTATACATTGTTCACTTGTTTCAGCTATGATGAGCTTGGGGTCCAAAAGATAATACCTGACACAACATTTATTAAAAGATGGAGCCACAAAATTGAAGCAGTAGTTATAACACACGGTCATGAAGATCATATTGGTGCATTGCCTTGGGTAATGCTTCCTATTCCAAGGAAATTTATTCTTTTATCAACTAGTTCTCTCTGATTTATTCCATTAGATTTGCTTGAGAATTTTGTCACGGGATAAAATGCCCATTGTTTGATGCATTCTTCCATAAGAAATGGAAACATACTATAACAAGAACATTTTTGTAAATGAAGCAATACTTGGTGCTTTCATCACTATGATAATTTTAAGTTAATGCAATGGGCTTCAAAGAGGATATACAACTATGATCGAATATATTAGGTCTATAATTAGTGTCTTTTGGATTATAGCATGTTTAAGGACTAGAACTCGTGGACATATTTACTGGCTAATAATACAATCTTTTACAAGCTATATGAAATATCAAAGGTAATGGTTGTGTGACTGCCGTTCTTGGATGAAAAGTATTTCACTATTCCTGTAATGTTTCAAATACTCCGTTGCTTCTCTTTCATTCAGTCTAATTGATTATTATTCTTTTATTAAAACCATATATATTCGGTTATTTCCGTATACATGCTCATAGTTACTTTAACTTTTACCTGGTTCATCAGGTCATCCCAGTGTTGGATTCTCAAACACCAATTTTTGCATCGTCGTTTACAATGGAGGTAAAAAGAAATCTTGTCTTGTTACCTTTATTAGTAAAATTCCGCTTTCTAATTAGTTTGTTTTTCATACGAATCAACAATATAGTTCTGTTTGTAGTTGACTTATTTCTTAAATTCTTTATTGTGTGTCACTGTATTAATATTTGTTGCAATGAAAATTGTTGTACATTGCTTATTTTGTTCATTGCAATCCATAGAAGGTAACCCCTTGTTATTTTTAACAGCTTATAAGAAAACGTTTGAAGGATCATGGTATTTTTGTTCCATCCCGACTAAAAGTATTTAGAACAAGGGAGAAGTTTGTAGCTGGGCCATTTGAGATAGAGCCTATCAGAGTGAGCCATTCTATTCCGGATTGCTGTGGATTAGTTCTTCGCTGTTCTGATGGTACTATTCTTCATACTGGGGATTGGAAGGTTAGGGTTTTAATTGTTTCTCTATGTTTTGTACCTTCCGTCAACCACGAATCTCCTGTTGCTGAACATGCTGATTCAACAGATCGACGAAACACCATTAGATGGGAAATTTTTCGACCGTGAAGCTCTAGAGGAACTCTCTAAAGAAGGAGTCACATTGGTGAGTCACTTGTGTTTTGAAATGTTGTGATGTTTCTCCGGGTGGTAAGTAAAATAGACCCTTTCAAAGTGAACACGGCTTTCATGATTAGTCTTGTGCTGGTATAGGAGCTCAAAAGGGTAGCATTTTTCTACTTTTTAAAATTTTGACTTTTATGAGGTGCAGCCTTGGAGATTTATTTTTTCAATGATATCAGTTAGCTATGCTCTCAATTGTTTGATGAAATTCAAATATGTTATAAGTGGCTTTTATTTAAATTTGGGGTATAGATCTGACATGTACCTGACCTCACAATAATTTTTCATGGAATATTATGGCGGAAATGGATGGATTAGGTCAATAGGTGTTCACATAATTCACGTTGAGTGTTTTGGGTTTGATCGTTGCATGGCTAACACATATAATCTTTATTGGTTATAGTAAATAATATCTGTTTTGCCCGTGGATGTAGGTTTGAGGTTGTTGTAGCTTGAACATGCACTAAAACTCTCTGTTGGTTCCTTCTCATTTTCCACTCCATGCCTGGGTATCACAACACATGTAGAATATATGTCACCTTTTTCTTAAATTTTATCAAAGGATAGAAACAAACAGTGTTTTGGAATTGCTTTACAGATGATGAGTGATTCAACAAATGTACAATCACCTGGAAGGACAATGAGCGAGTCTGTCGTTGCTGATGCATTATTGAGGCATATTTCAGCTGCCAAAGGAAGGGTTATAACAACCCAGTTTTCATCTAATATTAATCGTCTTGGAAGTGTGAAAGCTGCTGCTGATTTGACTGGCAGAAAGTTGGTATGTTTATTTTATTTCTTAGCTTGTATATTTTAATTGATTAAAGCTTGTGTTTAAAGTTTTATGACTATTCTATCAGGTGTTTGCTGGCATGTCTTTAAGGACATATTTGGATGCAGCCTGGAAGGATGGAAAGTCTCCAATTGATCCATCCACTTTGGTAATAAACATGTGTATATATTTTTTGTTATCCTGCTTTCTTTGTTTCTTAATTTGGTGGCTGGACTTGATTTCTTTGATAATGTTAATAACCTAGAGTTTCGAAAATGGGATCGGGAGGTTGAAGAAAACTTAATAGATTAGAAGTCTTAATATCGGTTATTGCTTTGCTTATAATTAGGAAACATATTAGTATGGTTAGAACTGTCTAGAAGGTAGTTAGAACAAACTCTGCTGAGTTAGCATAGTTGTAACTAACTCAGTTAGTTACAACACCCTATAAATAGCATAAGCTATCTCCATGACTTGACCTACTTCAGCTCACATGTAAATAACAAATTTTGAGTATCAGTGTGCAACACACGGGGAGACAGAGTTTTAAGGTTAAGTTTGTGTAAACTTACACCATCAATTTTTGTGTGCATATGAATACTAATTGTTAAAAATTTAAAAGGACTGCAGTGCAACCAAGGTAAAATTAAAATAAAAACTGTGGCCTCTGAATTAAGTATTTACAAAAAATCAGCAACCATATTCATAAAAACCAACAATATCTGTTGTAAACAAAATGTGGGTTACTCGACAAGTTAACAATATCTAGAAAAACATTAGAATGATGTAGCCATAATTCCACATAAGTGAAACAAATAGCACAGATGTTATACATCTCACGTTTTTGTTGCAAGTGTAAGTTTGATGTGATTACAACATATAGATTGCCAAAAAATATTGTAAATTGTCTGCAAGTCATACTTGCTTTCATGCTTCAAATTGAACTGCAAAAACACTAAAGAACAACTTCAATACATTAGTATATAAAACATGATAATGTATATTGTAAGTCATTATGAATTTAAAAATACAATATTAGATATAATACAGTTTGAGATTTAAATATGTACCTGTTTGATTAATATCCTAGAGATTGTTAAAGACCTCAGGATACAACATTGTTTGTTGAACTGCATATTTTGCAATCTTCATACAAAATCATTTTCAACCTCTTTTTTGTTCTGAATACAGCAACATATATTTGATTGTGTGTAAATAGAGGGCGTGGTAGATACAGTCTTACCTTAGACAATGACTGGCTTTGACTCTTGTTGATTGTCACAGCAAAGCACAAGATAGGAAATTGTCTTCTTTGAAATTTGAATAGTTTTGATTCTTATTTATTAGAGCAACTGTAAGTCTTGTTCATAGCTATTTCTAATTTTTCATAGGTGAAACATATTGATGCTTATGCGCCTAAGGATTTGCTGATCGTGACTACGGGTTCTCAAGTAAGTTAGTTAAGGTCCTCTAAAGGCCATCTATATCCATCTACTACAGGCAGGGAACAAATTTATGGCATATGAATAAATATTTGCTATTGTGTCAGGCAGAACCGCGTGCTGCCTTAAATCTTGCATCTTACGGAAGTAGTCATGCTTTCAAACTGACAAAGGAAGACACTCTGTTGTATTCTGCTAAGGTATGATAAATTGGGTATCTGACTTTTGATTTATTAAAGCAATTTGGCTGTACTATAGAAATCATGGATAAAGCATGGGGCATGGGAATATGACATTGTTCGAAGATTATAGGATACAACATGGCTATGATATCATGTGTGAAATTCATAAAAGATTAACATAATAAAACACAGATCTCAAATCAATAGACAAATCAAAATTTTAAAAGTTAACCAGTGTTATCAAATTGCGTCACCATGGCCGATATACATGGCGGTTTTTGGGCTTGCCGCAATGGTAAATATCGTCCGCTATTGCAGGTTTTTCAGCCATAATCCGCAATAACGGCGCTGCAAAGTGGCTGGTATGGTGGGATTTTGGCTCTCCGCCATCGACAACACTGAAGTTAACATGGAGTCAATGCAGACACAACAAAATCTCTAAGTTTTCTAATTATGGTGGTGTTCTCCTTTGTGTTGGTATAGAAGTTCAGAAATTATAAGTGAAATAAAAAAAGACAGTTAGGTTAGGAGTACTTAAATATGAATATTTTTCATTATATTAAAAAGGTTAAAACAACTATTTATATACACGAGAGATATAATCTAAATAGTAATGCAATCCTATCAAAATTCCAAAAGATGCCAACAAATTATACTATAATAAATATCAATATCTCAACAGGAGTATTTGTAGTGTTCGTGAAATATATGACACTAGTATAATAACTATTATTTTAAAGTTTTTGCCCTTCCTAAGTTGCTAAGTCACCGATATCAGTGGATGAACTTACAGTGTACTCTTTTTACTTTCATATTTCAAACTACTCTAGTAATAACTTCTGATTTTTGAGCATGAACTTCTGATTGTATTAATTTCTAAAAATATTTCTGCAAAAGGAAAGTATAATTCTCAAAAGATTTTATCTAAAAATCAGTTTATGCTGTAAACTTGTCTTGTGTTTATATCACTGTTAGATTATCCCTGGCAACGAGTCTCGTGTTATGAATATGCTAAACCGAATATCAGAGATTGGATCAACAATAGTCATGGGGAAGAAGGAATGTCTACACACATCTGGTCATGGGTATCGAGGTGAATTGGTAAGTTTTTGTATTATCACCTATTTTCTTTCTTTTTGTTCTTATTTTCATTTTCTCACCCCTTTCTGTTAAATATAAGCTAGATATATATGCAACACCATCAAATCGTTAGAAACCAAAAGGAATTTGAAGAATATTCTTAGTTCTAAAGGAAAAGTGAACATGGTTTTATACTTTTACTAAATATCAGGGTAATGAAATGTAACGTGGATAATCAAGCCTTGCCAAACTAATTGCTTTGTCTTGGTGCATTTTTCAGTTTGCTATATCTGATCTGATATTTGTTTTTTAATATGCATCACTCTGTATGGTTTTTGTCTTTGCCATGACATGTTATTTGAAAACTATATATATATATATTCCTGCAGGAGGAAGTGCTCAGAATTGTGAAGCCACAACATTTTCTTCCCATACATGGAGAACTCTTGTTCTTGAAGGAGCATGAGTTACTTGGAAAATCAACTGGCATCCAACACACTGCTGTGAGTGATTGTCTCCTTATTGGATGTTCTTATATGATAGATGAGAAACGAGTGGCTTACAGGATTTTAATAAATGTTACATGAGTTATATCATATATTGTTGAAGCAACTGATAAGATTTATGCACCAGGTTATTAAGAATGGAGAGATGCTTGGCGTTTCACATTTGAGAAACAGAAAAGTCCTTTCTAATGGATTTATTGCCCTTGGAAAAGAGAATTTGCAGGTTTATAGTCCTCAGTATTCCGCTGGCCTTTTTTTTAGAAATTTATAATTTATAATTCTGTGATACTACCTCCCTTTTCTCATGCAGTTGAAGTATAGTGACGGTGACAAAGCATTTGGTTCATCAAGCGAACTGTTCATTGATGAAAGATTGAGAATTGCATTAGACGGCATCGTTGTCGTTAGGTAAAATTTTCATGTAGTTAGTCAAGGTCTGGTTTAACATGTTCAGTCACATGCTAATCTTGATTGTTTTTCAGCATGGAAGTATGTCGCCCTCACAGTTTAGACAGTTCGGTTGAAAACACCTTAAAAGGAAAGATAACAATTACCACAAGATGCCTATGGCTTGACAATGGGAAGCTGTTGGACACACTCCATAAAGCTGCTCATGCTGCTCTTTCAAGCTGCCCTGTTAACAGCCCACTGACTCACATGGAAAAAACTGTATCTGAGATATTAAGGAAAATGGTGAGGAAGTATAGTGGCAAAAGGCCTGATGTTATTGCAGTTGCTATAGAAAATCCTGCAGCTGTTCTTGCCACTGAGATAAACACCAGGTTATCTGGAAAGTCTCATGTAGGTGAGATATCAACTTTCAGAAACGTGGTGCATCGACACGAGAGAGAAAATCAATCCACCAAAATGCAAATGAAGGGGATGATTGGTATGTTAGAATTCCGGCGATGTGCTTTTAGTTGTTTACATGCATTTTATTTGGACATGATATAAATTGTGTGTTAAGAGATCTAATAACCACTTGATGTCTTGTTTTCTTTATCACTGGCATGTATTTCCTAGATCCTTCTGTTCATATAGGTCTCTATAGTGCAGAACATCTGAAAGTCTACAAATGTTAACCTAGCAAAGTATGGTTTTCACACTACCTGTTTTCTTGGGCTAACCAATGCAAATCAAATTAGTGATTGATCTAGAGTCTGATGTTAGTAAAGAATAAGTGAGATGTAGAAGAGAAATAGAGCATTCTCCCGGTTTGGTTTTGCAGAGAATTAAAGAAGAGAGATTTAGATGTGGAACCTACTCCATTTTTTCAGTCTTCACTTGTTTGGGAAGAAAGGGCAAAGGAATACTGATATTTGGTTTGCCCTTCACACTTGCCCCGCTCTCCATCATAGCCTGCACTTGTTTTTTTTTGTTTTTTGCCAAACCGTCATTTCATCAACCCTCTTGAAAGTTATAGCAGTGAATTGAAGGCAACACAATGAATCCACCAACGCAAACTTATATTTAAACAAGTAAAATGAATAATACATACTAAATTAAACTAATAAATTTGATTAGATTTAGGTAGAAAATAATGTAACATTGTATATTAGTTTTTCTGGTTTTATTATATTTTTCTCGTTTCCTAAATTATCACTCTATTTCTTCTCTCCCACTTTCTATCCAACCAAACAAAATGAGAGCGAAAACACGGTTATTTTGTATTTATTTCTTCCCTCTTTCTCAAATACTGAACAATACATCAAATCTACTTTATTTTTCACTTCTTACTCTCAGCCCATTCTTTCTCATCTTGTCTCCTTTTCTTCTCACAATCATCAAAACTTTGGTCATGACAAGTTAGTGTACCATGAAATGGATTTACAGACAGTGTTTGATAGTTTACATTGTATACAAGCGACTGAAATATGAATGTCTTGGATTATGTAATTTATGTGTAAGATGTTTATATTCTTTATTTATCAAAGTGATGTCAAAGTGCAACGGACCTCCAAGTCTATGGTTTATCATGTTATTCTTTATTATATTTGGTGCATAGATATTAGTTAATTTTAATTGATATATTTCCTCTGCTGTAGTTTCTTTTAAATCCTGTATCCCTTTTCCCACCTTTATTCTATTAATTGTGGCACAGATGATGATAATGACGTTGAAGGTCTTCTACCTAAGGAAGATGCCACTACCTCAAATAGAGCTGTGAGTAATTTGTCTGAAACAGAGAATGGTCCTGAAGATGCTGAAACCAAATCTGTGAAGAGAAAGAGAAACAAATGGAAAAAGGAGGAAGTTAAGAAGTTGATTGGTGTGCGCAGGGAATTTGAGGACATATTTCAATTAGTGAAGGGAAATAATGTCTTCTGGGAAGAAATATCCAAGAACTTGTTGGCTTATGGTATCAACAAAAATCCTGGGCAGTGTAAATCTATGTGGAAATCTCTGTTACAGAAATATGAGGTTTGTTTCTTCTTCTGTGTGACTTGATATCAAGATATAAAGCAATTGATATTATCACTAAAAGTAATCATAGTTCTTGGATGGGGCTTTTGATTTATATTGTCTTTACATTTTCATCATTACCAGCAACATTGTTGATTCTATCCACTCTCCTTTTATTGAATTATCTCAGACTTACACTATCCGAAAGAATAGGTTAGACCAAAAAAGATCTATGATGTCAACTATATTGATTATATTACGTAGTAGAAAGCCATGATCTTGAGAGATACCCAACGTTGAAGTGACTTAAAAAGAAGTGGCTGTGTACGACAAGCCTTTAAAACAATATACAGTAGTTGTATTACTATTAAATGAATTTGCTCTGTTTCAACAATTGATTCATTTTTTTCTTTCTCTTTTATAAGCAGGAGATTAAAAATGAGAACATAGAGGAAAGATGGCTATATCTGGAAGACATGGAAAGGGTTATGTCTGATATCGAGGCACCAGCAAAAATATGACTGGGAGTGTGATGAATAAGACCAGCTAAATTTGCAAAAGCTTTCTGCATCAAGCTTGATAATATAAATTTGAGCATGGTCGGAGGTGGGAAGATAAAGATAATCCGTCAGTCGCATGATTATTGCATCATGGATCTGTGAGATTGAAAGTCCGTAGTTTTGTTAGAAGATTGGCAGAATTAAAAGGGATTTGAAGATTGGCAGAATTAAAAGGGATTTCCATTCACGCTAACAATAGTTAATGAAGGATGAGTATGCCGGTTTAGGAGATGATTATCCCCCTACTCAAATGGTTGCTCTCAACCAAATGACGTTGACATAGAAAAAGCTTTACTGTAGAACTGATACTAATTTTGAAGGAGACCTACATAAATTTATTCGATTAACTGTCCTAATTACTTTCACAATTTTTATTAGTGGCATGTGTTTAGGCGTCATAAATCAATTGTTGAAATCTAAATCTTGGTCACATACAACAGTAAAATCAATTTGAAGGTCTAGATGTTTCTACTTTTCGTGTATTTGGATGTGAATCTATCCTATCGATCTTATGATGCAATGCTAATGCCATTGTGATTTTTTGAAGTTATAAGTTGGGAGAGTTGGATAGGGTCATGTAGTTGCCGTAGGTATATTTGGTATACTAAAATATGCTGTATCATTGATGTGTTTGTCATTGCAGTCTGTAACCCCAAGTTCAATCGAGATTAATGAGTTTTTCTATTTGATGCAAGGTAAGTATTAAAAAAGAGTGAAGGAAAGAAAATAAAAGGAATCGATGTAAGTGGAAATACTGGAAGATAAGAATTAATGTAAGTACATTGAGTGTTTGTTTAAGCAACAAAATAGAAGGGATTAAAGATGTGGCAAGTTTTGATTCTAATCAACTTATTTATTTATTTATATACTTGATCTTGAGAGATTCTTGCACTATAAATACTTCAATAAGCTTCTAACAAAGTGCATATTACAAATTTGTTAAAACTGTTTTGGTCAATAAAAGGGTGCGCTCCGTCTCCCTACTATTTATAAATTTCCCCTTTCTTTTAAATTAATCACGACCATTTATTGACCTAACAAAAGAAGAAAAAATAGCTTTGGTCAATAAAACATAGTGTTGTTTTTTGGATGACTATAGAGATTAATGAGGAAGATCACAATGAGCAGCAAAATTCTTCAAAACAATTTAATATTATTATGTGTTCAATGTTAAATTTAAATCTAAGATTTTTGATTAAGTTAAAAGAGATCTCTTATAATTTTATCTAAATGCCCTTGAATAAAACACAAATAGTGTTTGACTTATATGAGTCTCGATAAATATTCTCCTCTTAAAATTAATCTGAAAAGTGGAGTGTTTATATCGGTTGATTATGTATGATTTGGGTTTCTAATTTTAACACTTATAAGTGTGTGTGTGTGTGTATATATATATATATATATATATATATATATATATATATATATATATATATATATATATATATATATATATATATATATATATATATATATATATATATATATATATATATATATATATATATATATATATATATATATATATATATATATATATATATATATATATATATATATATATATATATATATATATATATTAGATTGTTCAAAAATCTATTATGACGACTCAATCTTGCTTAATTTAGTAAAAGTATGTCAATCACTGACGTATAAATGAACTTTCATTGTTAGGCACCACTCAAGAGTATCGTCTCTCTTCCATCTCAACCATTGATCTATATTTAATGGTTGCCTGCACTCTACGTTAAACAAATAAGAGACATTGTCTTTATTATATAAGTATGACCTCGAGTCACACTCAAGTATTCTTTGCCTCTTACTTGTTATAGTTTAATTTCTCTCAAATACTAATTTGAGCGTTAGAGTGTTAATATTTTGCCGACAGTCCTTTTGATCACTAGAGAATCATAACCATCGCATGAGAAGTCTTATCGCGATTATCATATTAAACACTACATCTATTCTCTATTCTAATTCATAATAGTGGCGTTGTATGTGAGAATCGTCTTCTGATTCTCATTAATTTTTCATTAATTTTTCAAGCTTATGTCGTTGTACCACTACAAATATTTCCTGTTAATGATTCTGGAAATCGTAACCGTTTCATTACTCCTCTAGTGGTTGGTTTGAATTCAATTCGTACTCACTACGCAATGTACGACAAGTCCACTTACTTTATAAGTACGTGATTCCTCCCCATGTATGACCACTCAATCATCAACTCGCTTGTTCTCTTCTTGTTCACACATTATCTAACTTTGACATCATAATGTTGTTCAACTTAGTGATCAGATCAACAGACTTAGAGCTCATATCACTAGGTTTGATTATCAACCAGTTCGGTTTATACAGGAATATTAGTGTCCTTCATTGGACGAAGCTTAGGAGTGGGAGTAGTTATTGCAAAATGTGAAAACCCATGTCTCCCTATGAAGTAGGAATGATGAGTGACAATGAGATTCTGAGCGAATCTTTTGAAAGTGACAATGCACCGTAAAAAGAGCAATGATGACAATGACTTTAGCAAAACTAAACATCGAAAAAATTGTGTTAAAAAAGGCCATGTCTCTTTTGTTCGATACAAATCGAAACATGGCCTTTTGGGGGCTCATTTGTTACGCTGGATTTTTTTCCGACTTAACTATAAATGACAAGTATTCAATGAGACCAGACATAAATGTGCCACGTGGAAAATAAAATAAAATGGGTCAAACATGACCAAAATGACTCGAGGTCGGGAATCATGTAAGGGGACGTTGGTCAAAGGTGGCATAGTCGAAAGGCACAGTGAGAAGCATGGGGTCTTAGTAAAGTTGAGTACTATGATATGTTAGCCACTTAGTGAAATTTAATAATATGCCATGTTAGCTAAGGTCGGAGTGCATTATTACAATAGAAGTAATGTCAAATCAGTCACCACATGTGAAGTACATCACTACAATGGAAACAATATTAATTTGGGTGTTACATGTGGAGTACTTCACTATAATAGACAATACGAAGACACATGTTACATTAACATGGTTGACGTCGAAGGCTTCGATGGAGGTATTTAGTTCTTGGCTCCAACAAAGAAGTTGAGAAATTCAAATGATATAACAAGGCGGGAACTACTATATCAGCATCCCCAGTTACGTGGAAAACGTGGGACACGTCAAGGAGGACTGCTATATGATTTGAGAATGTGTCACAATGAGAGTAATTTATCATGCTTAGGCAGTTATCTTAGTATTGTATATATAGATGCTTAGGTTCATTTTGTAAAAAGTCCATAAATTGTACATATTTCTGCTACACTCAAAGTACCTGCGCTGTGAGAAACGAGTGAGGAAAAGTACGTATGCGTTCCACTAATTTAATACATTTTCAACATTTTATCTTAAAAGTCTTTCTTTCATTAATTTAAGCTTCTTTGACTTTTCAAGTCTCTTTTAACTTCAAGTTTTTACTTTACTTCACATTTTATTTACAACTGCCTCTTCCTTTAATTGCTTTTCTTATTTTAAAGAAATCACAAACATTTTTAGACATAGTCCAAAATTTTATGTTAAGTTCAACAATCATGCTGATTTTCACGAATAACGCACACACAAACATGTCCGATAAATTTTCGAGTTTGATCCCTTAAGTATTAATGTAAACTTGTATTTCCTTACCAAATTTCACAGCAAACAATAACTGAATCCCAAACTCGATCTGGTTGCGACGACCAGTTTCTTTTTGTTTTTGGTGGGTTTTATTGATATTTTCCCTTTCCCTCTTTGGGAATAAATAAAGTTCAACGACGACTCTGTTTTGTAAATATTTTGAGCGTTCCTTCTGCCCATGTATTTTTTACGTCGGGACAACTGGCGATTTTGCCGGGGAACCATCCTAAGCGAGTCTACCCTAGTTTGGTTAGCTTTTTGTTTATGTGTTAGCTTTGTTTTTTTCTTCTTTTTTGGATGTATTATTTCCTTTATTGTTTCTTTATCGCATTTTATATTTGTAGATATATTTATGTGTGGGCATTGGGAACTATAACTTAAGTGAAGCTCTCTTCTCGAGCTTTTGAAAGAAAAAAAAGGAACATAAGTTAGGAGGTGGATATGTAGTGTTAGCACCCAAAAATCACACCTTATATGACTAAGACAAAGTCCCCACTTATAGTAGATCTTATTTGTTGAGCTCGTCATAAAGCGGCTAGCTTGTTGCATGACATAACTCTGATTAAGATCAATGACTCTAATGACCTTTTAGAACCCATTCTATATTTAGTGGTTATGTAGTATTGATCCCCAAGGAGCACACCTTGTATGATCAATGCAAAGACCCCTCCTATAGTAGATTTTTTTCATGAATTCGTCATAAAACGGTTCACCCGTTGCATGGTGAAATTCTGATTAAGGTTCGTGACTCTAGAAACCCTTTTATCCAAACTCTTAGAGCAAACCTGGTAATTGGGTTTCATGCGTACATAAAACTTAGAACTACCCCCACATAGGAGGCCCACCTAATTAGGTTATTTTATTGTTACTAGTGTTACCCCATACCGTTACCTACACACTGCATTTCGTTGCATCCATATGTGGTATGTCATTTCATTTTTGCATATCAAAAGCAAAATTACGCATCCATATGTATCAAATATGCATCATGCATTTCATTTCCTCAAACAAAACACTCATTTTTATCTCCCCTCGTCTCTAGATAAATCAAGTTGATTCCTTAATGTAAGTACGCCACCCGAGCCAATACAAGAAGAGTAACAGACCAGGTTCAAGAATAGCAAGTTGCAATGAGGGAAGAGATGGACTATCTCAAATGTGTGATCAATCAAATACTATAGACAATGCAAACTCTAGATAGAAAGAAATAAGAGGTATGTGTCACCACTACTACAAGGAATGATGTCCCTGTTCAAAGGCCTCTTTCACCTTTACAAACTTCAGGTCCTATTCCCAATATTTTGATTTA